AATAGTCGCTTTAAAGATATAGTCGACAACGGTATTTGAAGGCTGAAACTCAGTATAGAAAGGATATCGAGGATTCACACAAACAGGTTCAACCCAATTAGAATACACTGTTATATATATTATTAATTCATTCGCATTACAAAAGAACGTACAAGCATAGATACATTATAAATTAATAAGAAATACGCATTTAACTTGTACCGCCGCCCGTAGCGATGCAAAAGGGTATAACCTCGGCGATTCTTTTGTTCAGGGAGCACTGATTTTGAGCCTTTACTCGGAGAACTAGCATGATTAGATTTTTGTCTCACTCACCCTCGGCGGAGGTCAGACGATGGTAGATGGATCGCTCAACTGTGCGCTACATTAATCGTTCTGATTGGTCGATATGTGCCGCGCTTGCATATTCAGCCTATCCGTGGGTCAACTATTGACATTGACCTTGTCCAGAACTATGCTCGAAATGGACGAGTTTCATTATAAATTAGTCGTTGGTAAGTAATATAGTTTAAAATTAATAAAATGTTAACAGCATTTAATTTAAAATTGCGTCGGATTTCGCCCCTTCTGAATAAGGTCTAAGGATATCTTCAGTAAATCTAAAGTCAATTAATTACGAAGTGTATTATAAAAAATGTAATACTCTAGACATTCGAAAGATCAACTCAATACTCAATAATTGTAGCTTTAGTTAGAAATTTATATGTTACACTGAAACTTAAGTTATATGTGTTATTAAAACTTAATTTAAATGCATTTAAAAAAATTGAGAATGGTTTTTATTTTGTTAATTAAATAAACTTATTAGTAACTAATAATTAATTGATATATTTACACTTGTATCTATACTCGAGTAGAAGTAATTACTAGAGTGTACTCAAATATTACTTATTAACTTAGCACATATTTTTAACCAATAGACAAAAATTTGAATGAAGTAAAAACTGTCAATAGATAATGACAGTATAAAATACTTTGAGAGTTACTACTTAATTCAAATTCTTGACAATTTGTAAAAAAAAATATTTGTATAAGTTACTATTTTACTTAAGTAATTACTTGTATTTGACCAAAGAAAGTGTTACTCTGATTTTTTTTTTTTATATTATTAGTATTTTTGGATAAGCATTCGTTTTACGAAGATACGATGGCGTCATATAGCAGGTTTTTGTTACGTAATATTTTTTTGTATAATTACAAAACCAGAACGTCAAATTCTACCATGAATTTTGACAAAAATCAATGTTTACAATCGAGTGGGGAAATTAAACAGTTTTGTATAGTCTGACGTGCAGTAACTGTACGTACATACATTGTATATATAACCATCCACACGTATAAACTTCATAAGTTTCTATGTGGTACTAAAAATTTACTAGGGTGTGCAAAAAAAATGTAGGACAAAGCCATATCCCCTCGCGCTACAACAACGCTACTAAAACTGAACAATATCACTCGCAGTACATCTACTAACAGTAGATCTCGCGCTATACATAATATGATTTCCTAGCTTACTTATGAGATTACTTACTTTGAAAAAAACATGTAAAGATACACAGCAAGAATTTTCAATCACCATCTTAATAGAGGCTATTTATGAAAAAAAAATAGGCAGGTGAAGTTCTCACTTTGAAATATTTTTTCCAATTTAAAGTGTTCATAAATTTTTAGTCAATTTAAAGTGTTCATAAAATAAATGGTACTTTATGACACTTCAAACATATGATAGAACGTAACGTTGTTCGTAATGGACGTCGTAAAAAGAAATTATTATGAAGTGATTTAATTAAAAAGGTAATGTTATCTTTTCAAAAATATTTTTTTAAATATGTATTTTTAAAAATAAAAGCATTGCTAAGTAGCCTAATTATTATTGTTTTACAAATGATATAATATATTAACTTTTTATTTACCAAGTTAATCGCGTATTTTCTCATACATTATTCGTTTATAACATCAAATCGGATACAATTACCATAATTAATATTAACGCTTTCACATCGGAGGAAAATGTTACAAAACTATGTACTGTTTTACCTGTTCGTTTTAAAAACATTGACATTAAAATTAATATGCTACAATTCTGATAACAAATAACAGTGTAAAAGTAACAACAGTGTTGTTTTTAAATTGTTTTGCATATTTTTGTTTTCACTACTGGAAATCGTGTTAGTTCAAGGTTAAAATGTAAAACTTGCGTTGGTAACGTTATGTAGTGCAAAAAGAATGTGTGACCTGCGACCTGTCTGAGCGCAAAACCTAATATATATAACTCAAAGGTGACTGACTGAAATAGTGATCTATCAACGCCCAGCCCAAACCACTGGACGGATTGGGCCGAAATTTGGCATGCAGGTAGAAGTTATGACATAGGCATCCTAAGAAAGGATTTTGATCAATTCTACCCCCAAGGGGATAAAATAAGGGATGGAAGTTAGTATGAAACTTTGTCAATTTTAAAACGATCGGGCTGAGACTTTGCATGCACACAGAAACTATGACGTAGGCATCCTCTGAGAAAGGGCTTAGATAAACTCCACCCCTAAGGAGATAAAATAGGGGATGAAACTTTATTTCAGGTATTTTACTAAATATAATGAATAAATATTCGTTAGAAATGCTACTCAAAGAAACTTTACCACGCGGACGAAGTCGCCGGTAGAAGCTAGTTATCAATAAAAACAATTATTATTTCAAAATTTTCAAATATTTGATTCAGTTAACAAAGATTTGTATTTAATCTTTACGAATACCTGTTAATCATATTTCTAAATGGAAAGTAATTTCTATTAAACAAAAACAAATCATGCACGACACACAAAGTAATAGATATCTCACGTTGTAATCAATAATCGAGTCATCTATTCTCGGATTTGTGTGTTAAAGTCAGTATTTATGGTCCAATGACATGTGTCAAAAGGGACCTCTTATTTTGTGCAGACTATAGCAAGGAGTATAACGTAACCACCGCCGCTAGATGCATAAATAAATGAATGATTATGATGAATGACGAAGAGAGGGCGACGCGGGAGCAGCGTTATTTCTAATATTGTAATGGAAAATGCCTTCATAGTCTATCCGTAAGAGTTAAATGAAACGGGTAAAAAAAGAAGCAGATTCTCGCCGGGTCTACTCAGTACAAGTCCTTCCTGCATGTATATACGAACCGACGACATAGCGTTCGACTTTCACAAAATCTTGTGAAAGCCTAGACAGAATAAATGATGTTTAAATTTAATTCTGACAACTTTTACATATCATTTTTGTACGATACCCATTACGATACCAAAAATCGATACCGTGTATAAATATACGTGTTATTTCCGCATAGATTATTATATTATTTATATTTCAATTTGGATGGCGATTAAAAATTCATGCGGTATAGACAGATGTAATATTATCATTAACAAAAACAACGCAAGCATGTTAGATACAAACTCTTGAATTATTGTAATAAATCAGAGATCTTTTTTCTGTTTCTCACTCACAAATTTAATAATACTATGTATAGAGTACATTTTAGAATCATTTCAATCGAGAAAATTAGCGCCTCATTAGCATTTAATATTATTATTTACATAATATTACAACTCAGTATACATAAATAATTTTATCGCATAATATCTTTGTTAGTATCTTCCTCGATCCGAAACAAGACTACATCATACCATAAAGTTCAAAACTATTAAGTATAATATTTTGGGAGCTAATAAATTTTATAATTTATTATATAATGTTCATTTTATGTGATGTTGTTAAAAACAAACAAAAATATATTTATAAATTATATAAAGATAATTTATACAGGGTGGATTTTAGAACTGGAATAAGGACAGGCAAATAGAAATCGTTTACAACAATTATTCGATTTGATAATTTATAGTTTTAAAATATTGATGACTGTAGAATAAAAACCTCTGACTTTTCCTGGTTTTCACGTAAATATAACGGTTATGGTACGTGCCTTTACTGACCCGCCTCAAAAATCTTCCCTGTATAAGTACAAACAAAAACATGGGTCACAATAATGTCTGTGATATTGTAAACGATTGCTAGTTTATTATAAAAGTGGCTATACAATTGTTTTATATTGAATAAGTAAAATGCCTGTAATCATTACTTTATATAAAAAAATCGGCAAATGTGATCAATTTCCATATAACCTATAGTAAAAAATTCATATAATATCAACAACATTTAATTATTACGAGTAATTTAGTAAATTGTAAAGACAATACAAGAAAATACAAATAATCGGTATTTTTACATTGTATGGATAAAACCCAAGCTTCCTTACATTTTACATAAGATTGTAATCTACTGATTGTTCTAATATATGAAACTCAGAGCATAAAATAATCTTCATTACAGAGTTTTAGATATAGTAAACTATTTGGCTCTTGTTTTAAATAGGTCCTAAATAGTTAATCATAGTTAAACAAAAAAGGATTTTTGATACCTAGAAAAGAGTAAACGTTATTTAAGCGGTTTTGAAAAACAACTAATAAATATATTAATCATATGAGCACCGAGTATATGGATGGCTGTGACGTCATAAGAAATGTAAAAAAGCATTGAAACAAATATTGGTCATTGTAGCCTCGAAACGTCCATGAATGACATTCGTAGTTTTTTTACGGATACAATGACGCCACATAAAAATATTATATTAAATTCTAAATTCAAAATAACAAAAATCTAAATTGAAATAAAAATTATACCGCCATCTTGCACTCTTATTTATTGATAAAGGTGAATTTGAAAATGCTGAAGGAAATACTCATTTATTTCACCAAAATTAGTAAAGTTCAAATATCTTATTTAAAAACACGAGCTTATCCATATTAATATATACATGAAAAATCTGTCCCCGCCCTCAATATCATTTATCAGTTGTTAAAAAGGTTCTTACTCACCTTGACACGTTTTCTTCTTCCTAATGACCTTTTGTTAATATTGTTTTCTTATCATCGATGTCGCCTGTTACACTTTTAATATCAATGAATCTCATATGTACTGGTGGCTTTAGTACAAGCGAACTGGTCTCTAGATACCCGTTTACCGTTTAACAGTAAATGCATAGGGCTATTTAATCTGATTGATTTGAACTCGTATTTCTGGAAATAAATATACATACATATAAGCAGATACTGCTCAGATCTTAGTTTTAAAGCACTTCGAACATCGTCAGTCTCTCAATGTATCCACTGCTAGAGCTTAGGTTTTCCCTATAGATGGAGTCAAATTGAATAGGGAGAATGAGCCATTGCCCACCGCGCAGTGCGGATTGGTGTGTATTTACAACTGCAGATGTAGCCGAGAACAGCGGCTTAATATGCCGAAGCACGGAAGAGCTCGAGATAATAAATTTTTGGCCATCCATCCTATCACCGGCCATTGCGTAAGTTGCCTAATAACCGTATCGCAGACCGAGCGCGCTAACCACTGCACCATCGTGCCCCTTGTACTTGTTAAAAGCACTTGTATTATGAAAAACTGAAATAAGTGTAACTACACCTACTGTCTTATTATAAACGAAAGGATTAACTCTAGTACCAGGTTTTAATCATTACCCGATCAAAATAAGTCAACAGATCTCAATTTGACGTGTTCTGTTTTTTCATTGTCAATTTTCTTTATGCGGCCAATGGTTTATACCAAGCCCTAACTTTAGTCCTCGTTTTATAATACGACGGTTAGGATCGGTGCATATTTAAACGTCAGAACTGACAAATATATGATATTACATTCAACCTTACACACACGCTGACGGATGGGTCGTGCGCATACTGATACATACATCCGAGAAACGTTCGACGGATCTTCCGTCAAATACTCACAATATAAAAGTTCGTTCTCTACATTGAGTTCCACGAATCGAACTCAGGACCTTAGAACTGGCAAGACCTTAAAACTTGGAAGTACGTAAACCTCTAGGCAATGGAGTTATAAATACCATCATTATCAACAAAAGCACGTTAGCCCACCCATCCGAGAACCGGCTTTTGAAAATGTGGCTTAACTTGCACAATGACACTATCAAGCTCTACGGCCAATGATATAAATTTTACAGAATAAGTCTATATTCTCTCTATATGGAGAAAAAGGTATCGTAAATCAATTTATCGACCTATATAATACCTCAATATATGTATATAACGAAAATCAAACTCGAAATATCGAATTTATCAAATCAAATCAAAAATTGTTTATTCAGTAGTTTAGGCTTTTACAGAGCACTTGTGAAAGTCGAAAACTACGCCATCGGTTCGCGGAACTACGGCGGGATTTATTGTTATTTAGATTAATTTTCTTTCTTTAGAACGAGCGTGCATTATTATTAAAATATATATATCTTAAAATCAACAATGGTGTACCAAATTGCATCTTTCAAATAAAACAAAAAAAAAATCCTTAAAAGTTCTCTTAAGCGCTGGTTCGAATCCAGCTAGAAGCAATATTATCAGTGTAACAAACATTCATTTTAAAAACGTTAATTATTACTACCGTTGACTTATTACCACCACTTTACGATTTTCTATAGTTTCCCTAAAACTACAATATAAGGTAAATGCACATCAATCCGAACGGAACGCACCAAAGAATTTATTTTTTCGTATAAAAACTATAAATGACTCAGTAACTTACAAGAAGTATACAGGAAACTCTTTTCAATCGCCTCGGATAGTATTACTCTTTAGTTTATGGTACGTACCAGTGTTTGCTTGTCGTATTTGTGTAGAGTTAGTTTAGGCTCAGGTATACACACGCAGTCACCTATAATAGCTCCCCTTCCGTCCGCCCAATTATACACAGTGACACACACTGACTCCATACTCTCATCCACTACGGCGAATGTGCTGAAAAACACACCAAAAGCCATTTAAATAGAAGCGTTATACCAAAATACTATCCCTGTTTTGACACGATACCTGAAGACCATATTTATTTAGCTGAAAACGAAATTACGCCCTTTTCGTTCTATCCTCCATTGTGATTACTCTGGTAACTTAATTCCAATGGTGGAGATGGGTGGCGCAATGAAAAACTGGTAGAATACTTCAGTGAAAAAAAAAGATTGACAACCAGCAAATCACGAACACGCGAATTCGAATACGAAAAAGTAATAATTTAAAATATTAACGGCCAGCAATGACCATAAACCGTCCGAAGAGTAAACCTGCCTATAGTAATGTGCTCGAACGTTACATTACTTTACCTTTTTTAATATAATATTAATAAATTTAGGCTCATTAAATTTTATAATATATTAACTAGGTATTAGCCCACTACTTCGCAAGCGGTAATTATAGCCTATGTAAAGCGCCCCTGAAGTAGCTATCTGTAGGTGAAAGAATTTCCAAAATTGATCCAGTAGTTTTGGAGCTTATTCGATGCAAACAAACTTTTTTATGATATTAGTAAAGATGTACTCACAATGGGACAGCATTTTCACTGTGTATAGAACCCACTACCTTCGCAAGCACAACTTTTCCTTCGTTAGTGCCCTCCTGTAGGCAACCCAATTTGACTCGTTCCAGTTTGACGTCACTGCGAGTACCGAACGAATGGAGCGTGTTCGGCCCATAAGCTCCTAACATCTTCATGTCTATGCTCTGTAACAATCTTTTTTTTTATTCACTTAAAAGGTGTGTAAATAAAAGAAAACTCTGATGTACCAATACGAAGGTTTTATTTACAAATAAAACCTTCGTATTGGTACATCAGAGTATGGATATAAAAGATTTATTACAGATAGCGCCATTATTTAGCCAATCTAATCACAAAACTATTTCCTGAACGAGTGGAAAAAAATGTCGGACGATTCAAAAGTACTTTTAAGAAGTCTATTTTTTATGTTTCATTTTCATCAACAATTAGTTTATTAGATTTTTAGTAAATTTGCTCAGTGTCGTTGTCTGTGGGTGCGCGACTCTAGCGAGCCATCCACACTAAATTACTACATAGTCTCCAGAGGATGGAGAGATTATAATATATTTTATATTTTCAGACGTTTCGAGTAAGATTTTATCATCAGTGTTGCAGCGGGGTCATGGAGATCTCCTTCAAAACGGTATCTGTGCTTTTGGATTTCCTCCTGAAGAGTGCCTATCATAACCTCTTTATATATTTCAGTTTTGGTGACAAACCACAGAACACCACTTATTGAGCGCAATACAACGTTCTATGTATAGCGTTCTTTGTATTTTGTTAAAATTTGAATTTGGAAACACAACCCCAAAAGTTGAATTCTGTCCAAATCGACTTAATGACGACTTCATAGATGAGGGGTTTATTGTCTTTATATGACAACATAATCCAGTTGTCTTTATATGATGGGCCCAAGTCAAGCGACGGTTAAGAAGAAGCCCCAAATATTTTACGTAGTCTTGGTGTGGCAATGTAACATTTTCTAGTTTGACTGGTGAGCGATTACCCCTTCTCATTGTAAATGTAACTTGGATTGACTTGCTTGCACTTGTTTTTAAACGCAAATAATTTAACAATATTGTTATTTTATCAAGTCCATTCTGCAATATTTTTGATGCTACGACTGGATCGCTATTACTAGCATGCGGGAGGTCTGCTGTATACTTATACTGTGTACAAAATTGATCCCAGAAAAGACCCCTGCAGTACTCCAGCCTTTAGATCGTAAAACTTAGATATTTTGTGTGTACCTTTTGATCGTAAAGCTTAGATATTTTTTCTGACTTGAAATAATCTTTCAGAAAGATATGATTTCAATAAGGAGAAGTATTGTTGAGTGCGATTGATTTTAAGCCTATGCCAAACTTTGTCAAATGCTTGTTGTATGTCTAAAAATACCGAGGAGCAGTATTGTTTCTCCTCCAGGCTTTTCCTAATCTTCGCGCAGACTATGTAGCTGTTCGGTAGTAGAATGCTCTTGCCTGAAGCCAAACTAGTGATCCTGGATCATTTTTTTTTGTTCCAAATAGGTGGCATGCGGTATAACAATAGTTTTAAAACATCTTCGATAGTACTGGAAAAAGACTAGTAAGCCTATACCTTGTGTACTATTATGTTTTGGGACACTTTCCATGCAGGCAGAAAGTATTGTGTTCTTAATATGCCATTAAAAAGTGAAGTAATAAACACAGTGGCTTTTTTGGTAGCTGTTTTAATATTTCCTTGTTGAGTAGATCGTACCCGGGTGCTTACTTGTCTTGTAGATTTATGATCACACTAAAGACATCTCAGACTATAACAGGGCGTGCATCTGCATTTCTCACCGTGTGCGTTACTGGATATGTTGGTAGCAAAGACTTTTACTAGTTGCTGAGTAAATGTATCTACTTTTTCCTGAGATGTTAGAGCCCAGCCGGTTACAGTTTTAAGTGGAAACTTCGCCTTTTGAGGTTCATATGTTTCGTAAATTTGTGCGGATAGTGACTGAAGTTGCTTTTCCACAGTTTTATTGCGTCAGTTATATAGCAATTATTTTAACTCTTTTGATGAGGCGTTCAATAGTTTTATGTCCACAGGCAGCCTGCTTTGATGCCTAAATTTCCGTAATTTGTGTTTGTTATTTTTTTGATGGTCATTGCATAGTCGTTCATCAACTTGTTAGATGGATTTAACACCGGAGTGTGGAGCCAGCAGGCTTTTTGGATCAGCTGGGTTATGTAGTTTGTTGCATCTTCTATGTTGTCTGGAGATTTTAGTGGTACTTGAAGTTGAAAATTGCAGTCAATATTCATCCTGAATGAGTTCCAATCCGTGTATTTGTGAGTTTTCCAAAGTGTTAATTTAAATTAAAAACGTACTTATAATTGATATGTCGAATGGGTGGGGTGTGGTCGAAAATGCCATCAAAACAAGACTCTGCTTTGAGATAGTGTCTTGGAATTTGAGTATGAAGAAACCCAATTTAATATGAAGAAAGCCAATAAGTAGCTTCCTGCCTCTTGTAGTTGTACTCAAAATCCCCAGTATATATGCTTTGCATTCCAGTCACCTCTGGCTACAAATGATTTTCCATGACGTTTGAAGTAGACAGTATACATGATCTCACAAATGTTGGGTTTAGTTTGACAGTACACTGCTGAAAAGTTAAATTCGGGTAACAGACGTTTTATCTTTTTTCTGATAAGAACTCCTGTTCCACCGTGGTCAGTGCCATCAGGATGATCTGTTGTATAACAGTGTTATTCTTTAACTTGATATATGTGTTACAGGTACAGTGTGCTTCTGATGGTTAATAAATATCAATTTTTTGATCAGATAGGACAACTTGAAGCAAATATGGCATTAATTATTTCACCTGTTACTACTTTGCCTGTTTGTTTAATATCCGTTCGGATTTCTGATATAGGTGTGGTGATGAAGAGTTTTGATAACTATTCTCTAGCATGTCTCTTCCTTTCTGTTGAATGTATGTAAGAAGTCTATTTGAATAAAGATCATTTTGACTTTGACTTTTCCTAAATGCAGAAATCACGTATTGGATTCCATGAGAATAAACATGAATTTTAATTTTTCTCAATAGAAACTTTAGTAACTCGTTCTTAGCAATGTTTTTACTAATAAAGCGTTATATCAAAATACGAGTACGTAAACAAGAGGCCTAACCGTTTTTGTACCATCTACTAAAGGTTTAATTAACACGTAAGTTGAACCAAAATGACGACTGTGCAGTAACACATTTTCGGGTCGCAATCGAGGTGCGAATGTTTAGGAAACCGGAATCTGCCAGTAAAATCGGTATTTTCATTCAACTTACTAGCCGCGCACTATATAGTACTTTTTATACCTGAACCATCTGCGTTAGTTTCTTGACTTTCATTTTACCCCTGGTTTGCACCAGACTATTGGTATTGGTCAAATATGTAGTAAGTCTCCCCAACTCTAATCGTGGCGGCTCCCACAATGGATCTAAGCTGCATGCATACTCGAAGTTCTGTAGAGCTTCTAAATAGTCTTCTTCATATTTCAAAGCCTTAGAAAAAATAAGAATAATTCAATCTTTTCAAACCTTTTAATAAATAAATTAACATAATTCTCAATAGGCTTTATTGATTCTTATAAATAACAATAGTATTAAGAGGTTGCAACCCTCATACATACTGAAATAACGAATGTAAACACAACACCCCTACCAACAACACCCGATCGTTAGTATTCGTCGGACAGAACTGTACCTACACAGCATGTGGCGATTGTCATAGCAATGCATCGACTGCATCGATCGAAATAGAAATATTCGCAACCATGCAGTAAATGTAATCTTCGGATTGAATATCTCTTCAGATTATATAATTTCGTGCAGAAATATTGCTGCTAGACACAAAAACCACTTAATGATATTAGGCATACTTTGATAAGACTGAAAATTGCCAAATCTGCATAAATTAATTTGCAGTAGGGTAGTCACTAACAAAAGGTAACACTTAATTGAAGTCAGATAGTTATTAACGAGAGTAGACACTAAGTTGAAGTCAGGTAGTTAATTAACAAAATTAGACACTTACAATTCCTTTATTATAATATAGGTCAGGTTGACCTTTAGCAATGGGGTCTAACCAAGCCTGCCTGTATGCACTCAAGCAAGCCTTCAGGACACCAGGGTCTTGCGACACCATGAAGAATTGGCACAAGTAGGCATTGCCTAATACAGTCCACGAGACGCCATCTTTAATGTCCTGTGCAACAGCTTCTTTCGCTAACTCAACACTTTGCACTATTGCAGTGGTGGCCTCCTTAGGTTTTTTGGCACCACTTTCTTGCCGCAGTATTATTGATAAGCAACGTAAAGCCAGTCGGTTCCGTTCCTAGAAATATAGTTATTTTTTAAGAAACATTTGTTTATTATTATAGACTTGAAATCTACAACGCTACATTGATCGTATAAAGAAACTATATGCTACCGACTTCGCAAGTGTAAATTATTGGATATGGCAACCCCGTATGATGATAACTACCGGTAGGTGAAAGAATTTTTAAATTTGGTCCAGTAGTTTTGGAGCCTATTTGATGCAAACAAAACTTTTTTCTTTAAAATATTAGTATAGAAAAATGCTTGAAAAGCTATTTAGTGCACGGCTGAAGGATATATCAAACCTTCATAGCCCAAGCCTATATAAAAAATATTAGTTCTTAAAAAATTAAATAGAATGTAGCCCAAATTGTATTTACTTACTGAAAAGTACAATTTCTTATTGGAAATAAATTTCTAAGCAAGGAAAAATAAAATAAAAGGATAGTAAATTTCATATTCGAAAATTACAAATCAATACAATTTTAGGGTAAAAGCAGCCAAGTCTTACTTCATACAATCGCAATAAGCTTTAAATAATTAAGTGTCTATACACAAATGGCGTTGCAAAGGAGTTAATTATGGTTTCGTAACAAATTCTTGAAAAGTTAATAAAGGTCGGGCGATTAAAATTTAAATAGCAAGAAGCTTTTAAAGAAACAAATAGTCATTTAAAATAAAGTATTTGAATTGGAAAATCGTAAAACTGATTTTCATTTATAATATGAAAATAATTATGCTTATGGGTTGCTACCCAAACATCTATATATTTAAACATTCGCTCTGCAAGTACCGACCAAGGTTGATGGTATGCGTAGTAGTGTTGCTTGCACACTAGCGCCTCTAGCGCCGACGCGAGTAAAACAAAATAGCCTGAGCTAGGTCGGTCACACTGTTGTTTAAAATGAGGCATCTTTATAGTTCATGTTTATTATTAATACCAAAGCATAGAGCATAGCGATAATACATGTACATACAATAGCCTTAATAACTCTTAGGGTCAAGATTGATTTGTCCTGTCAAAAGAGGTAGAGGTAACAACAAGGTATTACATATATTTAATCACAATGACATTTTAGCATCTGCATTCTCAATAATACTTAGGCACATGGTTAATTTCGAACTAGGTGGCATAATGGATAAGCGCGCGAAAATTATTAATAAGCAACTTTCGCATGGATCAGTCACTGTATGGGTGACCAAAAAATTATTATCTCGAGCTACTCCGTGCTTCGGAAGGCACGTTTAGCCGCATTGCGCGAGCATGGAGAATGACCCATCTTTCTTGAACATCCATAAGGAAAGCCATGATATGGTTAATGGATGAATAGAGAGTGATATTGCCCACAGTGAAAAAACGGACTATGTAGTCATAGCATTAGCATCTCATTATGTATTTGTTTATTTACCAACATTCGCATACGAAAGTACAAAGACCAAGTTGCAATCATTTTATGTTAAATATCAAATCAATAGAAACATTTACAGGTAATATGAAAATATGAGTAATATGTTTGCCTTTACTTATTATTTTAAAAAGATAGATGATTAAACACTAATGTTAATAATCCATAGTTTCACAATTGTTCTATGGATATTTGAAGGTTAGTTGTGATATTATGAATATATTATAGTCATTTATGGACTAAACTAGTATTATTTAAGACCTTAAATAGAAGTCAATCTTGTAGATAAAGAAATGGATAGTAAATAATATTTACATGAATAATAAAATGTAGATTATATATAATATTATATATATATAATATAATATTATATTTTTAATGTGCATATGTTGAATGGTTTATACCAAATTCCTTCACAATTGTTACATTCGTCTTGCTAGCTTCTAAATGTAGTAAAAAAATAACACTAAAAATAACACTCTTTTCTTAGATAGGGGAACATTTCGCTTAGTCATACACGTACTCACTCGTCACCGCCAAATAAGGAATTGTCCTAAAATGAACAATCGCAACAGTCCGCTATGCATAAGCGAGGGGGGGTGCATGGTGCGGAGATAGCTTCTAAAGCTATTCGCTTTGATGTGTTTGTACACCTATCAACATTATTAGTTATAATCAGACAATTATGTGTAGTTCCATTGATAAAAGCGGTCTGCCTTTATAAGCTGTATCATAAAAAAACGCATGTATAAAACTAAACATAAGCCTATTGTTAAGTCATTAAAAACAGTTGATATATACTAAACAGACTACAGTATTATCAATATTCTCCTTAAGCCTTAAACACAGAAAGCAACAGCTATAAATATTACGATATGTCTCAAGAAAGAATGAACAACAAGAAAAGGAAAACTTTACAGCTAAATATTTGAGTTTGTTTGCATTTTATAAATTCTAAGTTTTGATCAGCTGATATATACTAACATGTTTCAACGCTCCTTCAAAACTGGCCTTGGCTTCTTTGATATTTGCATTCTTCCAGTAACATTCTCCGAGCTCATTCCATGCATCCACTAAATGAGGATTAAGTTTAACTGCTTTACTTAGACACTGTGTTGCACGTGAGTCATATGCAGGATTGATATTGTAGCACCTGCCTTTTAAATACAAGAACTGCGCTCGTAGAGGGAATGGTATTTGCTTGTCAACTGAAAATATATTTCAATTGTTTAGTCATTTTCTTTATTATTTATATATAAAAAACTATAGCCATATTAACAAAAAATACAAAATATTTTAATTTATCTATTCTGTTTCAAAAACCTTAACTCAATATTTCAGTGACATAATGCTGTATTGATCGTAATATTAAATTATTGATTGGTTGAATTTATTATGACAAATTTAAAATAAAAATGCTTGAATCTAATATTAAATCTTGTTAATACATTTGTAAACATTTTTTCTCGATGGGCTGCTATATAGCTTTTGGCTTCTATTGCATTAACAAATACTATAGTAATTATATAATTACAAATATGCATATGCCAGGGGCATAACTGCAAGTTATAATAAATACAATTATGTCTCCATATTATTGGGGATACTGTATAATAAATACTCACAATAAATTAAAAGTTAATGTTAAGTGAATTAACATTACAATTCATTTAAAATTAGCTCTTAATTGTAAGTATTGGTGAGATGATGCCACACTATACATAACAATACATGAAAGTGTGTCCAAACAGCACTAAATAGCTGATGATGATAGGAAATATAAGAAAGTTCCTGTAATTTGACTAATTAATTACAAACAATTATTTGGAATAAAAAATGTTGAAGAACTTTACCATCTATTTCTTCAAGTTTCTTAACTAATTCTTCTTTCTTCTCTTCAACCAATTTATTCTTATCCAATGCCATCTTAATAGGGTGATTTTCAAAGAACAAATCACGATACAAGTACAAGTCTTGTAACTCTTTCTGAAATTGATTTTTGAAAACTATTACAATATGAAGTCAGTAAAGCCTTGGGGTTATATTAGTTTTGTTTTGAGAGATTCAAACGACACAGCCACTCATACTCAAGACAATAAATAGACAGATTTTTCTACATCACACCAACACATAAATGTAAGGCATACGATAAAATTTACTATATATATTTGTTCATACCGATAAGTTCTCGATGACTTCATCCGCATTCTCTAATATATCTATCTCTTCTCCAGAATCTCGCGACATGGTAAGTTGTTGATGAAGAATAACTTTATGATAATATTAATTACCTAGATACTCAGAGATTTTTAAAGATAGAAAACTGACAAATCTTCCTTAATAAACGTCAATGTCATCGACTGTCATCAATTAGTCACTCACTCACACATTACAGGTTGTACGGCCCTGCGCACTCACATACTACATACCAAAGAGTAGTATTCTACATGCGGTATAGTAGTTGTGGGACAGTAGAAACAACGTAGCCTGTCATTAATATACGCATTTTATCTTTGATACTGGTATTTAAATACCACACCGCTAAATGATGCTAGTGGCTTTAAATGTATGTCACGAATAAAATGAGATGATTGTCGTGTGCTCACGAGTTGAGTGGGGTGAAATATTTTTTTTGGCAATGTTAATTTTATTACTTAAGTAAATAGTGTAGATTTTATTTCATCGTAACGTCTATACATAAGTTTTTACATTATTTCGCAAAAACACATAATTCTGTTGCGTAGAGGTATGTATTAAACATATTTTTTGTTGTAATAGACTAACTTTGTATCAATCACGTATTTTGTTGGAAGTTTATTAAAAAAATCGCTTAAATAACAATAACTTCCATTAGTTACCGTTAATTTTTACAATTATAGTTATAAATGATTATACCGCACTCCTACCGTAAATCGTTGTATTATATTAACGTATTAATCTATCAATGAATGGCGCCATATAGGTAAGCAATATTAATATTTTTCAACCCTTGTAGGATAGGTACCAAAAAAATATTGATGAAATTACAGGGTTGTTGTATTGGAAAACACTAATAAATATAATGGTAAAATAATCATTTTCATAGCTCGCACCTTAAGCTTACCCTCTAAGGGTTGCACTTTGGCTCGCACGTATGCACCAACATGTCTATAATTTTGTTACCAGCATAGCAACACTTTGACACTGGCTGTCACGCACGTCACTGTCGAATCGGTTATCTGTCACCAAACAAAAGTCAAAATTACCTTTGAAAATTACTTTTAAACAACACGTTTTGCAACAAAATTTCGAGAAATTGTTACAAGTTGAAAGACAAGACTAAAGTAAATATTGTTTCCTTTTCTATATAAAAAATACACAATGAAAACTGGTTTTCTTTACGGAATAGTTGCTTGTTCTAAAACGCGAGTTCGTTGCGTTTTATGCGGAGTCCACATACCAAAGGCCAACAAATGCATCGAGCAACATACGAACGGAGCGAAACATAAAGAAAATGTGGAGCTCATGACAGAAAATGGGATTACCTTCAAGGACAATAAACTTTATTGTAAACCGTGTATGTTAGAATTATCCTTGGAAGATTCCGTGATAGGACATACTGAAGCTGAAAGCCATTTAAACTGGATGGCTGCTATGGAAGATCTTATAGATGGTGAGTACATCTCAATTGAACCTTTCTTAGCCTCTGAAAAAGATGATGCTTTATGTGAAGTATGTCATTCTACATTTCAATGTACTTTGCAAAATATTGAGTCACATGTGAACAGTATAAATCACAGAACAAGCATATCAGAGTATCTGAAGCCGTTAAATGGTATATTTCCTGTTGAAAATGATGATGAACTCTGGTGCAAAATTTGCAATACCTTTATTGAGAATACAGCCACTGGTATACTGGAGCACATTGATAATGATGAACAACACATGTATTGGTTCACCACCATTGAGGATTTAATAGAAGAGCAAGATATTACTATCAAAAGTTTCCTGGCAAATGAATTTGACAACAATGCATATTGTAATAAGTGTCATTTGGAAATCAACTGCAACGCAAGAAGTCTAGAAGATCATATAAACAGTGACATCCATCTAAGCCATTTCAGTTAAATAGTTTGTATTTTAGCTTTATGTAATTATTTTTTCAGTTATATATCAATAGCTCTTTGCACTGTGTTGCAAATTAACTCTACATATATACCATTATATGTAAAAAAAGGATAATTGTGATTTCTGAAATAAAATAACAATTAGTATTTACTGTAATGTTAAAATTATATTTATGAGAATATAAATATTCAATATGTAATTTGTTTAGGTATATATATCTCTGATAATATCAAAATACTTTTTTATAATGATTGCTTGACTGTTGTAATATTGCCAGCACAAAATTTATATAATTATAATAGTGAATTATCTTTATTCAATGTTAGCCATTTAACTTTGCAAATATCTGTTAAAATATGTCACCAAAAGAATTGAATGCCTAAATATTAGCTTAACTGACATGAGAAATAAGATTCATAATTTGTAATGTTTTGCTTAGCAAAGTATGTTATTCTTGGATATTTTTCTCCCACTCTCTTATTAGAAAAGAATCTTAGTATCCAACTTGTTTAAAAAATAGTATCTTAAAACTAAATGAAAGACATTGTATTTGTTAATGAATTGTAATTATAAGTCTCATAATTAAAAAAAATCAATAATTATTGCTAATATTTATAAAACTGTATTACACTTTGTATTGTAGTAGAAGTAACCAAAACATTTTAACTATTCTTTATTTAGAGTGACCTGTTTTCAACATTTTTACTAGTTTTGGAACTAAAACTAGTTGAAGTATATTCTTTCACTATAATTTTGTGATATTGTTACCAATTAATTTATTTTTGTTTCGTAAATAAATATCTATAATCACCATTTTTTTTTTAATTTAAATTGAAATGGGTCATCAATATACAGTCCATAGTAAAATATGTCATATGTTGTGTAACTGAAAAATATTAAATAGTCTGTAAAACTGTTACAAGTTTTGCTCGTACTAAAAATAATATAGTTACGAATGGTGTTCTTATTAATATAATTAAAAAGTTCAAACAGGTAAATTCTGTGCTTATTTTGAGAAAACATATATTCATTTATTAACAAAGTTTTAATGTTTTATAGGTTATATGATTCTCTCAAATTTCTCACTTGATTAGTTTTGAATATGAATATTAAACTTTTACACATTAAGAGTTGATTTTTTTAGAGCTTTTTGTGCCCCGTGTAGTCTACCCAAATGATTATACCTGGGATAGTTATTCGTTAAATTTCATGGCCTTTTAAAGTAGCACTCCCTATGCGCATGCCTAGCTTTCCTAAACGATAATCCGCCACTGACTGGTCAATTAATCAGCTTTGCAAAAGAAATCAAGAGAGTCTCTTGTACTTATAAATCCTTGTAATTAATCGCCAAAAGGATAGTCATCTTCATCCTCTTCCACTATAGCAGTCAGTGGAATTTCCGATCTGGAATGGGACGAAGAACGTTTTCCGTTTGAGGGTGTAGGTGCGGTTGAAGTTTGAGAATCACTTTTGTTGTCTTCGTCTAACCTAAGTCTCATTCTGTCTTGGTCCAAGCGCACGACCTGTGAGATATCCTCAGCATAGCAGTCCATGCGAGCAATAGATTCGACTAGATGATTCTGTAAAGAACTAATAGGGTAATATGCATTAGATTTAATTTCTAGATTCTTTATATAAATGCGAAACTTTAATTTAATGAATAATAAAATAGTAATAAGAAAAAATTGTTATTAAACAAATCGTTTACGTAACCAGGCACTAGGGAAATTTTCTGACCACTTTCTAATCTAACCTAACCTAACCAAAAGTTTTTTGGCGTTCTATACGATATAAAAATGATTCACGAAAAAACCATTCTCAGAAATTTTATAATACTTATTTACTCTTCGTTGCCTCATCATGTATCTACCAACGTTTTAGTGGCTTCTAAAAATAATGTTGTGTGGTGTTGAAGTGGGCTCGTTTTCTATTTTGTCACTTCCTTGCGATATATATAGTTTACTAGACGTATATACTTCAAATCAAATCAAAATCGCCTCTGTCTAGTCACGATTTTCAACGCTTAATATCTTTAAAATTATTAAAATATTTCCTTTATCCTTGCAAATTTTGTTTGAACAAATCATACATATTCAATGTTATATATATCAGCATCCAGAACTATTTACATTCCATTTAATTTAAAAACCATTTTTCATTTTCTTCTGGAAATTGAAAGATTTTGTACATAAGGTGTTTTCATTGATTTTTTCTTATCCCATTTCGAAAGAGCACAGTTAAAATATACATACAGACTTCATACAACAGAGATACCAACTTTATCCTGTCGAGATTACTTCTCAGGTGCTTCATGAAGTGCCTTAATCTTCCTAATTCGTTCCTCAGTCTTCTATCCACCTCATCCTTGGTGAGCTCTCCTGGAGGCCTGAGAGTTCTGTCTGCGATTCTTGCTGCTACTAAATTTTCTTGTTTCATGGTTTCCAGGAGGTTCTTTTCTGTAGTAATTTGTTCCTCTTCTAAAGACTTAATGTCTTTTATTGCCTGTGGAATATTTAATGAATATAAACTGTTATATTTTTTATTTTATTAATTTAATTATTAAGGATCGTGGTATCGAATAGTATCTCCAATTTTAATAATAACAACACATTGTTTCCGTGCGTGTATTGATTAGGATCGTTCTGCTGATTATTTTAATTATTGCGCCGGCACTCTTACACACTTGACTAATTACCAATTGTTACTAATCTGGCCACAACAGATACGTTCTCTGCACGAAGAATTTAAAATACAACAATCTCATTTTACCTCTTCTCTTTGCCAGTACAATTCCTCTAACTTTGAAGTATTGACATGCAGACGTCTCCTGATTGCTGCGTCCACTTTTGCTGCATGAGATTGAGCGATAATCGAGAGGCGAACCCTTGCACCTCTTACCTGTACTGGTCAAAGTAATATTTGTAAAAGATAACTACTTAGAAATAATTTTAACAGTCAGGGAAAAATGAAAAACAATATTGGTTTTGTAGCAAACAATCATGAAAATAAACAATATCAACTACTCGCAGTCTGAAAACCCATAGTATAACTATTAGTTTATAAACATTGTTTAATTCTTTATAAAGTGTAACATACGAAAAACTAAAACCATTGTTTCGGCAAACTAAAACTCTATAACATTTCCCTGCCACAGGATGGAAGACAATCAGATCATTTTCGAGTATATCATACTTGTTGTCTGGTAATTACTGCGTTACTGAGAGCCTGAAGTCCAAGTCTTTTCAGTGAAACACATCGGTTTTCCCATTTAGCGAGAGATGAGAAACTGAAAAATACATAAAAGCATTTATTTTTAAAAGTGTATGGTTTAGTCATGATAGAAATCAATAAATTCACAAATTACTTGTAAGAATAAAATACTTTTGATTTCAGTGCATTATATCCTACAAGATGACTGTGAAAAGAACACGTTATTTTTATAAAACCAAGATAACTATCTATAATCTAATCGATAATATTAGGTTGGGGAAGTCTTTTCGCATTTAGTTGCATAACTTGCAATAAAATCTTTCTGGCTATACCATTTGTATCTGACTGGTTCCAGTATCATTAAAAACTTTAAATTTTAAATAACATAACTCCGAATTTAATTGTGTGATTTTCATTTGTTTTTCTTACAGTTGAAATGAATGAATCTAATGAACGCATTCGATACATATAATATTTTTTTTTACAAAAAAAAATTCAACGCAAGTCGCGAAAACCATTTGTGATGTTTATGGAGCCATAAATATTTTTCAATTTCTGTGAAAGCAGCACAAATTTTGTTTAAGCGTTTTTAGTCCGGAAGTTTTGATCTCAAAGAGGCACGTCGTTCCGGTCAAATGGATGACATTTTTGAAAAAATGGAGCAAGATTGGCATATCAGTAATAACGACGTAGCTGAAGAACTGGGGATTGACTAGAAAACAGTTTTGGCGCATTTGAAAAAAACTGGGTACACAAAGAAGTTGAATATTTGAGTACCTCACAAGTTTACTAAAAAAACCTAATGAACTCTTTTATAATTCCTAATGAACATGTACTCATTCATATCTTTATTACGGAGTAATGAAATCAAATCATTTTTGATCGAAACGACAAGTACGTGTTCAAAGGTCGATCAGGCTTCACAGACTGTGGCGAAACCCTAAACACGATTACCACCCGCAACAAGGTGATGCTATGTGCATGGTGGAATCAGAAGGGCATTATTCATTATGAGCTGTAACCGCCAGGCAGGACTGTCAATTCTGAATTCCACTGCGATCAATTGATGAGATTAAAGCAAGAAGTTAAGACAAAGCGGCCAGAATTAATCAAAATTAAGTTTTTCATCATGATAACGCTAGACCTCACACATGGTTTGCTACTCAGCAAAAATTAAAAGAGTGTGGCTGGGAGGTATTAATGCATCCGCCTTATAGTGCTGACCGTTGCACCTTCAGATTTCCATCTGTTTCGGTCTCTTCAGAATTCTTTAAGCAGTATCAGGTTAACATCACGCGGGTACTGCTAAAACCGTTTGTCGCGGTTTTTTGATCAGAAACCCCAAAATTTACTTTATTTATTGGGATCATGTCCCTACCTATAAGATGGCAAAAAGTTATCGAACAAAATGGTAACAACATATTGTAGTTAAATGTAAATAAGCTTTATTGAAATGTGTTTTGAATTTTCATATAAAATGCGAAGAAACTTTTTCCCCAGCCTATTATTTTAATAGTCACCGTTTATGTTTTCTCTTAGAGTCACTCTTGGTTTTGGTTACGGAGCTAAAGTCGATATTAGCACAAGAGTTTTCAACAGTGATCGCCTCCCGTTTCTTCAATATATCTTCCTGTATTCTTTTCTGGGTCCTTTCAAGGGATTTAGTTTGTTTATCCAATTCCAAGATGATATTTTCGAAATTCTTCTTCTCTTCTAGTAAGAAATTATATTCCTGAAAAATGTGTCTAAGAATTTAACGACTGTAGTGACACACATCATTACTATTGAGCGCTGAAAAACTGCTTTTCGGCCCTTTGACTACTATTCAAACCTAAGAAGAAACATCTTAATACAAGAACATTCTTCCTAGTACACTGAATTTTGTGTTACGTCGTCTAAACTTACTTAATAATTGTTGAAAAACAAACTATATTTATTTATTTAGCTAAGACCTAAAGCACCTCCAAGATGGCTTTCTCCACGGGGTCTGTCATTGGGCACAGAGCACCAGGTCTACTCGCATCACTGGAATGGTCCTCTATTTCGCCAACTATTCTCTCCACTACAACTCTTAAAGCGTTGTGTTCGTATTTCAAGGCTTCTATTGCTTCATGCAAACGCTTCGACAGATCCTCGAATACCCATCTCCAGGATGCAATGTCAGATATTCTGAGAGATATTTCTTATAATAAAGATATTAGTAAATACCTCATCATCAGCCTGTGTTGGCGTCGCCACTGATGTATCATGATCCTCTACGATTGGACGGTAATTACGACTGCAAATGCAGCTGGGACCAACGGTTTAATGTGCCTTCTGAAGCAGAGAGTAGCTCGAGATAATAATCTTTGGTTACTAACCGAGGTAAAAATGTATTTTACTACAATCTGGGATTGCAACGTTAGAGCATTATTTAAGACTGCAGACCATACCAGATACATTCGAATCTCGATGTCGACATTAAAATACATCAGGAATTACGCTAAAGCAGGTTTCGGAAACCAGGTTTATATCATTGGTTCTGGTAACAATAAAAACGATTTCTGCTCAAAATTTCAGTTTATTTCGCTCACAGATTTCAATTCTCCACCTACCTACGATGTTCAAATTTTAGCACTCTAGTACCACTTTTAGTGAATAAATAAATATAAATATTTAAATAAATATAAATATTTAACAACATCACATACATTGCTCAGATTCCAAGATGAGTAGCTAAAGCCCCCGTATTATGGAGTATCTGAGACAACGAAGGTACCACGACACCCAGACCCGAATCAATATAGAAAAGTTCATTTTCTACATTGACCCGACCGGGAATCGAACCCGGGACCTCAGAGATGGCGACACCTTGAAACCGGCGTGCGAACCACTCGGCTACGGAGGTCGTGGATAAAAGTAATATCTCGTAATTTAAAAAATAAAGTGACGGCTTACAAAGGCTCTTCTTTCATTTTTACTTGGAATTAACTCCAGTTAATACCAGTTAAACCATTCCATTTCAAGTGTGAGATTTTCAAATTCTATAATAATCGGTATTTTATATTACTTTCGCAAGCTCTGTAATCAAGCTATTGAGTTACATAAAATTACTAATATTTAGAATAAGTATATTTTCTCATAACCGAAATTTAATTTAATTATTAGAAAATAAATGTATACTTATAGAACATATTTAGATTATAAGAAGAGCCTTTTCATTTGTAGTGAGTTTTAATCTTTGAGATTTTAACCAAAACGATAATCAAATTTGATTTTGGCTTTTAAACTAAAGTTTTATTCAAACTTATTAGTTTTTAAAAAGTTTTATCATATAAAACGATCGAACCTTTCCTGTATGCAAGTTTTGAACTGATACTCGTTCGATTCCCGCGCAAAGCTGTTGATCATCATCAGCTCTTGGCTTTCGTTTATCTGTTCTACTACTTCAGCGTTCAATCTATCATTGATACATCTCAAGTCGTCCACACCACGGGCACAGCCAAGATAACCGCTCTTGCAAAACATTTTCAATTATAAAAATTAAAAGATCTCTCAGCCTTAACGTGCTATACTTCACCTACATTATAACTTATGTGTATGTCCCGTAATACATTTCTCTTTGTAATATCTACAATTTATTTTATGCCCATTAAGTTTTTTGATCAATTATAACGTCAAATTTATGTCAACATAGTAGTGGCAGATGTCAAGTATAATGGATTAAGTATTTTGATCCCAGGTTTAAATTATCTTTAAAATTCAGATTACAGCTGTATCGGATAGGCTCGGAAACTATTGGACCGATTTAAAAATTGTTTCTCCTATTCTTTCAGCTACAACACGATATGCGGTGTACCTAGGCTATATTTTTTTTCGAAAAACATCTAATAAAGGGATGAAAAAGGGAGTGGGAGCTTGTATGGGGAATTAAGTGTTATGTTAAAATTAGAAGCTTATTAGATTTATGTATTAAAAACTATTTTAGGGTTTGTTTATAAACAAACCCTAAAATAGTTTTTTTCTTTCGTGAAGTATCAATTCAAAACTTGATTCAAACGGATCTTGATTGGAGTAAAGTTTTGATTGTTTTACATATACACTAATAACTTCTCATTTTTAAAGTTTAGTTATCTCTTCATTAATGGCCTCTGAAATAGGTTATAGGGTCCGAGATCTATTTCCACATTACTAAAATGAAATTAAAATAATTTTTAATTTTAAAGTATTTTTTATTTATATCTATAAATTAATTGTAGTTTCTTATTCATTATTTTAAGCTCTAATACATTTGATAACTATACACTAAGTAAGGAAAATAGACATACAGGTAAATTCAATAAAGCTTATATACGAGTACATATTAGCATCAATTACCTAGTTATATGGCAGCATGAAGTGCGACGTATTTATTACTTTATAATAGAAAAAAAATACACAAATGAAAATAATAAAAAGCCTACGTCTTTAATAAGTACCTCTATTAAATCATTGTTTTATAAATGCATGTACTTGAAAATTAATAACGACGTCATTATAATTATATTTAAATAATTCTATGGTAAGCTTCTTTAGCCACTCTGTGTATCGGACGAAGCAATACAAAGTAGACGAACTCTGCGAGGCTGATGATGCTGAAACCGAGGAATAGGCTGAGAAGACCACCAATGGCACCTAATAAATGAAACATTAATGAGCTAAGTAATACCTAAGTGGTAACTCGGTGGCGTAGTGGATAAGCGCTTATTATCTCGAGCTACTCCATGCTTTGAAAGGCACGTTAAGCCATTAGTCCCGGCTGCATTTGCAGTCGTTAATAGCTTACAATCCGTATTAGGCCAACGTGGAGGGATATAGCCTATCCTCCCTAGTCGTCCATATAGAAGGCCTGAACCCCTGCAGTGGGGACGTATAAAGGCTGATGATGATGATGAGCTAAGTAGACGTTAATCAACTTTCGCGAAAGTCGATCATCAATATAAACATACTGATGATCTTGTATACTTGTGTTATGAGGAAGTATTAAAAACAAAACATTAATTCCAGAAATCAATATAAAATATCTCTTCCGGTATTTGTTCATGAATAAAAGTAAATTAATTTCCAAAACTCAATAAACAACTCATATTCTATTTGTACTTTTTCGTATTGTATTGATAGCTTACAAACTAAGTTAACTTTGCAAATTTCAGTTTTTAATATTTTAGTTATAATGAACGGAAATGACTATCCTTGGTCCATTCGTTTCCTGCAAAAATCAACTTTTGGTAGAATCGTCTATCTAGAGAGCTGAATTTTTAATGCTTTTTTCTAAAATACTTCGTCATTGAAAGTTACTAAAGCGCAACCTATGTAACTGAAGGTCAGGTTACCAATTTATTATTCAGAGCTCCTATGCGCTTCAGATACGGAAATAAACTGAAACTCGGCATCGAGCGCGGCCCTGACATAGAATTGAAGCTGAACCAAATAAAACGTATTTCAAGAGCAAACTAAAGTTTCATTTCATCGAACTTACAGGGTGTTTTTAAAAAAAATTGCATAACACTTTTAAAATAATTTTTAATTAAAAAATAGTTTTTGCAACGAAATACTTTATCCTCTGTATCGTTATCTGCTATAAATACAACTGATTCTTGTTCCCCACGAGACAGGACTAGAAACTTTGACTACGCTAACTAAACGACTGTTCTTTCACCGAATTAGCAAAAATACTGCTGTCATATCTTTTAAATGAGTAGGTTAAATCTCTTAAGTAGCGTCGTGGTGTTATGAAAAAATTCACCCATAACTTGGTAAAAAGTGGGGAGTAACATTTGATATTAAACTTTTCGTCAACTTTCTTTTAAACATGAAGATTGCAACAGGTGCAGTTCTTACATGAGGCAGAGTACTATCATGTAATGAAGCTGTCATAATATATTTAAATATTATAAAGAAATGATTGTTTGTTAGCTCCGAAACATGTTGTTGATTGTTTGTTGGATAGATTTAAAAAAATCTCTTATGAGAAGCATTCAAATCACAAGATTGGTCTGTGAATTATCAGTGTTAGTTAGATTACCTCGTCTTGGTATATTACCAATTTACGTACGTACGTAATTTTTATTTAGAACTCGTAAAATAGGTAACAATATAGGACTTGGTTAATTTATCCGATTGTAAACAATAATCTGGCATTCTTAAACTTGAAACAAATAGACTTATGTATAACGGTTAAAATTACTTTTAGTTTCAGTGTTTTTTTGTTAACAAGGAACTTACCTGCAAAATAATAATCGTCGTACTGGGCGTGCCGATGCTGCCCTAAAAAACTATCTTCGTAGAAATACACGTTAATTTGCGTCAACTCCCCTCTGTGAAATTGAAGAGAAAACAAAGTCATTGAATGGATGACCTTAAGTTCGGTGCTTAACTGACGAAGATGCGTCGTGTATCGAACGGACAGAATTGACATCCATAGTTGTTGACACCTACGTCCTAAAAAGAACCATCGTGCATCGTGCACAATTTCAAGTCTAGCATTTGTAGTTTTTGAGATTTCGTTAGCAGCGAGTGAGTGAACTTTCGCTTTTGTTTTAGGTATATAAATAAATAAATATAAGACATCACATACATTGCTCAGATTCCAAGATGAGTAGCTATAGACTACGTATTATGGAGAATCTGAGACCATGAAGGTAAAACAACGTCCAGACCCGACACAATATAGTAAAGACCATTTCCTACATCGACCCGAACAGGAATTGAACCTACGGGGGTCGTCAATAGATTTAGATGACAACATTATGCACTAGTCGGAAGATACGTCGCATGCGCATACTTCCATTAGACCCTTGCATTCATCAAAGGGCGCATGATGATAATCCGGGGTCTATCGTTTCATATAATTGTAATTCATATAAATTCAATTGTAAGGACCAAGAAAATTTTGAATGATGACTTCCGTAGCTAAGTAGCGTGTTTAGTCGACGATATGGAAATTAGGAAATTTTGGTAAAGCTTGTCATGGGATGGGTGACCAAAAATTTTAAATCGTTGAACCCAACCGCATCTGCAGTCGTAACATCGGTGGATTGGTGAATCCTCACTGGACCAGTTAGGTACGTCATGTCCCATTCACCCCATTCATGGGGAATGCCTGCGCTTCAATAGCGGGGATATTAATGTAATGATAACTGACTTAAATCCTATCTTGTAAGCTTTACTGTCATTAATAATTCCGCAATCGCTAAAGCTTTGTGATAGGCGCTATAACAATAAACTATCGGCCAAAACTCACTTTCTCGGATATCCCCAAACGGGCGAAGGGTCTCCTGGTTCCTTGATCAGATCGGAGTAGAACACTTGACTGTCGTAGATGACGTCATTGCACGATGGATGACACGACATAGGTTCCTTAGAACTCTTGCCTTCCTCACTCTCTGCATAGTATGCGTATATCTGTTGCTCCTCTACTTTACCTGCAAGATACACAGCTTATATAGAAATTTAACATATTATATGCCAAATTACTACAATGCATTTTTAATTCCACTTTTAATTTGGTTCGCATATTTGATTAATGGTTTCGTCATATCTGGACTTGACTTTCGTCATAGGGTTGGATTCCCGGTCGGGTCAATGTAGAAAATGAAGTTTTCTATATTGTCCGAGTCTGGGTGTTGTGGTAGCGTCTTTGTCTCAGATACTCCATAATACGGGAACTTTAGCTACTCCTCTTGGAATATGAACAATGTATGTGATGTTGTCTAGTATTTATTTATTTATTTTTAACATTGTAATTAGGCGAGTGCCAAAATTAAATTTATAAATACACTAAGCCGAAAGAGAAAACTAACCCTTAACATAATCGATGCACTCAAAGTCCACATCGGTAGAACAAATAGGTTCCAAAGCGCTTTTTCCTGAAACACATATTTAAAATATACAGTCAAGAGCTAACAGATTAAATCGATTAACGATCAGGACTAGATCTAGGGTGCAAATCAGGGTGTTTGCTCCAGGCGTCAGTTTCAGGGGAAAGGACAGTACAATATGGATAAGACTCAATTTCTCTTCAAATTTGTTATGAAAGAAAATAATACCGTCAATAAAAGTATTTAAATGAGTTTTTTCTATCAATCTATTTCAAACGCTGAAGAGAGAAAGGGAACCAGTATCAATTTTCTGTATAGGTTCGAAACAAATCGTAGATTCTGTTCTCTCAGCGACATGAGACATAGCTTCATTCCTAGAATAGGAATGTATTTTACTCAGCTGATGACAGATAATATAAAAATGACAAAATTATATATGCTGAGTGATTGCGAAGTCACCCACCGTAGCATTAGTAAGTAATTATAGTAGAATTGTGCTCGTAATTGAAATACATATATTTATTTAACGTATGAGTATGTACAATCTAGAATATTTAATTACTATTAGGATTACCGAATGTGGTGCAGTAGTATTTTCAAAAATCTAAAGTACCTTATAAACGGAAATCTAAGTAGTCTAAGTTATGCGCCATTTTAGTGTCATAACAATGTACTATTAGCTATATAAATATATATAATACACACTACATTTCGTTAATGAATTAAACTCACTGGGCCAATTGAAAAGTGTACAATTACAGGTCCTCTTAGATTCCTTCACGAAGACATCATGTTTACAGTTGCTCCCTGTGTAAAACTGATAGTATTCTAATTGCCTTTCGTTTTGGAAGAAGCACTGCCTCTGGTCAGGAGCTAGGGACCTTAAAGCCGCATCTGTCTTATACGTGATAGGCGATACTTCTATAGTTGTCATCCTGTCCATCGGTAAACGGAGGACAGTTGAAGTGTACACATGGTTTGTTGGAGATTTGATTAGAACCTGTAATTTTTTTTTATAATAAAATGCGAGCACATTACTTGACCACGACTGATGCAAAGAATATACACTAATGCCTGTTGGTAAGTGATGTAAAAAAAGCTGGTGCTAGTTATCTTCGCTTTGTCTAACCACAAAAGTAGACTTTTTAAATTTAAAGAAGGAGAACTCCGTGTTGAAGCAATGCAACTTATTTAAAGCATCGAGCAGATCCATTCCAGACGTGCTAGCAATATTCAAAGCTGGGTTGCGGCCGCCTAACTCTCCAGCCTAGCATGACTCTCATGACGTTATTAAGTTTCATTTTACTACTTACCTGAACTCAATCCTAGAATATGCTTTGTTTTTCATGAAAAACTTACGGTAAACCCAAGACTGTTTCCATCGCAAGCGTGCTGGTGTTCACTAATGTTCAGGTATAGTTCAACGCTCAGGCCGTAGTTTTCTCCGGATACCATGACCCTTAATGGTTTCATAGTGGCATCAGGAGGGAATACTTTTGGATAGCCTTTGTCTAGACCCCACTCAAGAGCGGCAGGAGAAGCCAGCTTATTAAAGCTCTGCTGCCATGATAATGTGTCGTTTTTCCTATAAAATTAAAATAATCGAATAAGTTGGTGGTTTGCTTTATAACCGCGATTCTGTAACAATTGTGTTTATTACTTAACAATACATTTATGTATTTAAGTATAAGATAATAACAAATAGTTAAATTTTACAAATACTCTTACATTCCATTCATTGGTAAGCTATTGAAAGCGTAACACAGGCCGTAATCCGTGAAAATTGGTCTGAAGTACTTCTGGCAACATTCGGTAGTCACCCATCTGGTTTCATGCGCTGCGGGCCAGTTGCAGCTTTTTACTATGTCTGAGCAGGATAAGGCTCCCTGTTATCATCAGAAACTGTAATGATACTTACGCCATTGTTGAATATTACATATTCCTAACTAATATTACCGAGGAGAGCAATGATTTGTAAACAACTCAATAACTGAACCTTATATCACTTATAACCTTTCTATAATTTGAAATGTATCTGTAATGCTGCTAAATTTGTAACAGGCAAACTTGATTGTTATTGTGAGCACACATGTTTTTATTTTATTCTACTTTACGTGAAACTAAAATGCGTAAAAATATCCATTAGGAGTGGCTTATCTACACACCAATCACGCACATATCTAATATAATAGCAGATTGAAGATCCTGTTGTAAGAATGTATGGTATGTGCCCAAAAAAATTAATTAACTCACGTTCAAAATAAACATTTGTAATTGGTCAATTTCGGGAGGGCTCAATCTATGTTTCAGGGTCTTGTTCAGGAATAGCATGCGTGGGCAAACTAGTGACGCGAAGAATTCTTCCAAACTGAAATATAAAATGTTGTGATATATAAAAATATGCTTGTGAAATTAAATGAATCTATATAAATGAAAATAAATTGGCACAAATCTGATATATATTTTTTTATTGTTATTGTTATTTTGAGAACAAAAAGATATAATTTGTAACATTCACAAAACTAAAATATTGGGGTGCTTATACACAATACATGGTAGAAATCCCGTAAAATATAATTATTGTAAAGAAAGAAAGTCTGAAACAATTAACCTAAGTATTTACAAAAAATACTTTTGATTCCAACTAAATTCAAGATATCATCGCACATTTCACTTAACATTACAAAGTTAAAACGCAAACTCCTTACTGATCTAATTTTGAAACATCAGCGAAAGATTGTTTCACATGGAGATGGGGACACAGCACCACTGTTGGGAAGGGCACCGCCCAAATCGGCGTTGGTAATGAGTCGATCACGTTAACAAAAGGTGTAGAGGTCCACTTGCAGAACAATTTGATGATATTGGCAGCGCAGAATGCCACGCTGATTACAACTATGATGATCCACGTGACGCGTTCCTTGCTACTGAAGGTTGGCTCGAAGATGTACCTATGAACATGGATTTTGATTACAAAAGTTATCGCTGAGCTCCATGGCGCAGTGATAGCGCATCAGTTATAGGATAAGTGAGCGATGTGCCAGTTACATCTGAAGTCATTAACGCATGAATCATCATGGCTCGTTGTCGTTGTCTTCAGATACGTTATCCGTTTTATTACCCTGGTTTGAGCTCGGTGTATACCAAGCCGGGTCTCGATCCCAATCCGTAAAAGTTTTATCATGTGTTCTAACCACACTTTGACTTTGCATCTCAGGGCAGCTTCTAGTAGTTGGGGTATTAGGTTTTATCTGAGTTATGTAGGAAAAATACTACCGTTTAAATTTTAAACTTGTTATATATTGCGAACAGTGTATCTATTTATTTAGACAACGGATTTCAATTCGGTTTTCAGCAATTATAATTAAGCTTTATATATTATAGATAATGCTATACCTTATTGTTTTAGGGCAAAAGTTGTTGGTAAACTAATAAACACAACAGAAACATGTCTTACTTCACTCCATGTAATGTGCCACCGTAAAAGAATTGCTTCAGTCCCGCCAATATTTCTTTCAACCATATGTTCATCACGGATTCTTTATCTTTATGGTTTTGTCTATTCACTTTCAAAGCGTTATGACTTATGTAACTAAAATCTTTTACGTAATAATCCCCGTAGTACTGCATAATTATATGTAAATATGTAATTCAATTGACTTTAAGCATAATATTTGAATTACCCAATAGATATCGGATACAGTGCATCGGTGACTGTAAACTGAAATTACAAAGTAAACCTACTACTGTGCTAATTGCATAGAATGAAAATGGTATTGGTCTTTAATTGTATTGTTAATTAATCCCACATTTTTATGTAAATAAATTAGTTGTTAGGTTTGTCTGTTCCAGTTATTTATTTAAGAAGATAAGTAACTAATGCCCCCGAATTATGGAGTATCTGAGATAACGAAGGTGCCATAACACCCAAACATTGGCCCGATAGGGAATCGAACCCGGGCCCACAGAGATGGTGAAACCTTGATCCGGTATGCGAATGTGTTCGAAGCTGTTTTTATAAAACAATAGTAATGATCTACTGATCTATCCGATATTGGACACACTTATGTTTTTCCATTGCCATTTTAAGTTTTTTACCCGCCTAGTTACCTAATTTTTTAAAGAGAATTTTGACATTAACCCCTAACTTGTTTGAAGGATACGTTAAAAGTAATCCACTCTGGAAAAACCTAGAACAGAAAGCTAATAATTAATATGTGACTCACCAAATAGTAGGTTTACCTGCAAGTAAACCATGATGCAACAGTTGGTATTGTAACGAATTATTTTAATAGCGAACTGCACTCAACTGTATTGGCATGTCGAAGACAGATTAATAGCCTATAATGATAATTACAATAGAAGATACCGATACAGAAATTGTATTTCCTCTTTTTATTGAAAAAACTAAAAGCAATATCCATGTTTATTTTAATCGTCTCATTATTTATTCAATTATATCATTTTTTTTAGTTCATAAATAAATCTGCCTCACTTAGAAAATCCAATAAATTCACATTGATATTTTATGTAACAAAGGTTAAAAATCAGTTGCTATTTATACAGTGCTCATGATCAAAGCTGGTAGAACGCACATGTATATGTAGTTGGATATCTAGTGTTAAAGAGTCACTGGTATACTAAACCTTCATATAACCCAAGCATTCGACAGTATATAATATAAAATATACTTTGTCATAACTTTTTCAGGTGTCTTCGTACTATGAATAAATCCCAGAATTTCGCTAGATGACTTGGAAATGGTTTTAGAAGTTCAAAGTTCTTGATCGAAAAACAATTGATAGCTCAGGGCTATCCGCAAACAATAAACTATAGAAAAGTTTTTTGTTTCAAGTTCAAAATAATCTGTATTCGTAGTGTCTTTGAAACTATGAGTGATGAGCTATTTAACAAATTGAGAATGATAGCTCAAACATGATTTTACGAAATATAATAATGAGAACAGGAACTGTGCTAATAAAAATGTATGAAATAATTATATAAAACACGAAATAGAGATAATAATAATCCCAAGGTTTTGTGGCAATCTTAGAACAGAATAAACTTAACACTTGGCCTGGAATTAGCAAATAAATTTGGTCAGTCATTTAAAACAAACATAAAACAAACAAAATGTGATCTACCTCTAAGCCAAGTATTAAATACTTAAGCTGAGATTTCAAAAAGCTAATTCGCTCCGGGTTATGTTGGAGTAAGACCAATATATACTATAGCAATTTCTCGTAAAGTAAAATCAACTATTGCACGTTTAATAAACACAAGTGTGGCAACTGGAGTTTATCTAGATGACCTTGAGACGGATATTGTTAGATCCATATATAAAAATGATCATCACAACTACATGCGTGTTATAGATCTGTCATCAAATGATGAAATTTTCGAAAAATTTATAATTAAACAATTATGATCATTTTGACTAGTGTCATATTATCACAAAACACCAATTTAGTTTGTCAAAATTCACGGACTCGATAAATATACACCTGGATACTAAAAAACATATTCTAGTCTTAATTTTTGACTACAAATTAATGTAAAGCATTTGACACACTTAGCCACGATAGACAATTGCAAAAGTTATGTAATATGTGAATATATGGTATTCGAGGGAAAATTTTGGATCGGTGTAAAAATTACCTAAAAGATCGTTATTACGTGGTGAAGATAGGAAAAGCTACTGGTACTAAAAAAGGTACTCGCCCAAGGCTCCGTTCTGGGACCCTAACTTATTTAAACGACTTCCCTAAAGTTATACTAGTTAAAATGGTCATTAAACACAGATACTTAGGGCTTGTTTTTGATTATCGTTTGAACTTATAGATCACATCAAGCACGTATGAGATTAACTACGAACGCTGCTTGCCAAGTTTAGTGTAATCAAATATAAAATTCTTTATTCTACCTTGCGTAGCTTTTATCTCGCATTGGGAGAATCTATTATATCGTATACGATACTTAGCCTACAGGCTAAGTAGTTATGAGCGCACTTTCAAAACTCATTTAGATAAATATAGTTTTGTAACTGACTTCTAAAAACGATTGTGCCAAAACGAGTAAAACAACATTACTCTGATTATTATAGAAAGCTATTTAAATACTTTAAGTAATTCACGAAAAGGTCCAACTAAACGCGAAAAAAATTCACGAATAATTTGGTTAATCATAAAATATCACTCCTAAAATAACATTTAAGGAACTGAACTTCTAACTATTTATGACACTTACAATTAAAGGAAATTTAAATGAGAAAAATTTTAAATGATAAATTTTAAAAACTTAAAAAATTATTAAATAACGGAGCATCCTGTATATGCCACTGCACTCGGCGGCAACGGGTAGGTAGAACGTTTGCTGTGGTGGGGTCAAAAGCAAATCGATACATTTCAAAGTCAAAGTCAATGCTATGTCTGCGGCCGGCGTTATACATTTGCGATGATTGTTTTGTTTTGATGTTGTAGTTCAGTATTTGAGGTGAGTATTCGAATAAGAGCATATGATTTTTTTTATTTAGTTTGTTATTCTCCGAATGATATATATGTATAATTAATGCATAAAGAAATAAAAATCACCAGTGGAAAATCAGAAGCGTAAACATTTCGCTGGCATTTTTATTTATTTATTTATTACTTCATTATGTGACTGAAGCGCGCTCAGTCTGCGATATGCTTGTTAAGCATTGGCCGGTTATAGGATTAGTGACCGAAACTTTACTATCTTTAGCTCCTCCGTGCTTCGATATGCACTTTAAGCCATTGGTCCCTTCTGCATCTGCAGCCGTTAACACCCACTAATCCGCACTGGGCCCAGCTGTGGGAACATTAAAAGGCTGGTGATGTGACTGGGAAACTAACAATAGATGTGCGGGCTGATATTTTCTTATTCTAATAAAATGAGACGGCCCAAAAATTGCTTTTTCGAAGCAATTTTCATATTTGAATCTGAAAAATAAGAAACTTAACAAGATCATATACTTTTAGTTATTACTTTTACTTTGCTAGAAAATAATATCTCTACATTTCAACAATCTACAAAAATTAAAAAAGTATCTTAATTAGAAGAGGATAGCAATATATTGGTATTAAAATTATAAATAATATATAAAGTTAAGTCACTTAATAACACCCATTATTTTCATTGAATGACTGTCCTGGGTTGGTACTGTTTAGTCGATTGCGTAACTGCAATTTTGACAATGGTTGTTTTAAGACTGCACTATCTAACTTCACCTTGCCCTTGACGTAATATATATAGTTTGCAGCACTTTTATTTTCATTTTATATAAATAAATGGCTACAACACAGTGGTCAGCCATGTTGTGCAATATTGCAGTTATATCCCGACCATATTGGTAGCCAAATCTTTTTGTCATCACATGCAATCCGTTTTTCCTTTCAAGGTATAAGATAATAAAAAGACAATAAATTTAATTGCATCGAAAACCCCACTCATTTTTGCATTGTTACAGAACCCGTAATTTGCAAGTCCTTGAACTTAGCCGTTTTTTTTTTTCATCATTCGACCGTTTTATTCCGTCAGCCGGCTTCCGGTAGGGTCGCCGGTTTTAGAAACAATTCGAATACTTTTCATTTCCATCGGATATAAGCTTAGGGTATTACTGCTAATTTTTAATAGATGTTTTCAATGGTATCTAAATGAAAAATCGTTAAAAGATTCACTGAATATTATTCAGATTCTGTGGAATCTATATCTTCTTGAAACTACTTTTTATAAGATGTACTTAAAATAAATCCAATAGAATGAATCCGTCGGGTTGAGACTTCGTGTATTACTTTTCGATATTGGAATAATAAAAAATTAAACGATCAAATTTATAAATCAGCGTGTACAAACTACGACGTCCTGAAGCCATATTTTTTTCCATTGGCATTTCTATTAGTATCATATTACGGGATGAATGGATCAAATGGAGCAAACAATTTTAACCCTTTTGTATAAAATTAAAAGGTGTAAAGTCGTGTTTATTTGTTAGTTAATGCGGTACTTTTCAAGGTACTAGTAAATAAATGTTGAACTTTCCATTTGTTTTAATTACCAAAGCAGACAAAAAGCTTTATTAATAAAAAATACTTACTAATATTGTACCTATGCGAAAGTATTTTACGCTTAATCTTAGGAAAGTTCATAGGTAACTTACCTTTTATTGTGAAAATAAAACTGGTCATAGTTGATTAAATATGAGAAGGAATGTTTATATGTACCTTCGTCATTAAAAATAACAATACCACGTGGACGTAGTCGTATAAAAAAGCTAGCTATATTCAAATCCCCTGCATTCTCTGCAAATGTAGGTAATTAACTCAAAACCTACTAATATATGTGTGCTTCAATTTAATACAATTTATTGCCATTTATCTAAGGTATTATTAAGACAACTTTATACAAATTAAAGCATCGAAATGTAATCTTTTTGCCATTTCACTTACAGTCGGAAATTTCAATTTATTAAATAGACAAATTGATCACGAATCACTTGTTCTTCGAAACACATGACTCGTTTACGTATAAATCGATATCCCGCAGGAATTAAATCTTGACTTCAATATAAAATAACTTCAATATAAAATTTCCCATTCCTATTTCTAATAGTTTGGGATCTGCGTTGATATGTCAGCTAATCTGTCAATTTCAATTACCGTCGATTTAAGGACAGATATCTTATACTATTCCGTGGGTGAGTTCTAAAATAGTATAGATATCGTTCTTAGAGTACTTTCAAAGTTTTTGCGCGATCGTCGAATAGATATAGATTCGAAACATCACAAAGATTTTGTATAAAAGCTATTATGGTACTCCAATCCTACTATCTACAATCGCATGGACGAGCGGCTCACACGCCAGTTTCAAGGTGTCTCTATCACTGAGGTCCCGGGTTCAACTCCTAGTCAGGTCTGTATAAAGTTTCCTATTGTTTATTAAATCGATATACTTATCTATTGGTATTCTTAAAACAAATAAATTATATTGTGTTGTTGATGTAACAATTTTACCAATTTGACAAGAACACTTCAGTGTATTAAAGATTTATATTTGTCTGTGCCTCGTCAATCATCTTCTAAATTTTGTTTATGATTTAAAAAATTCCGATTATTTATTAAGATCATTAGTCACATGTTTTAAATCTTATTATTGCCCTCGAAATTCACATTCAATTAATAATAAACATATGACTGCGAGAGGTCAGGAGATAAGGGTATATATTTTGTGAAGTTATCATAATAGTACTTATTACTACTCTGACAGATGAGTATGAACGAAATTGGAACACATTTCCTTTAAATTTATCTACTCAATGACCAAAAATACGTAAACGCTTATTAACGGACATCAGAAGCATATACTTTTGCTATTATGTAGTAGCATTTCAGACGACTGTTCGCAATAAGCTGGAGATATTCATTTCGTGAACATCAATTAAAAACTCGTTTTAGTTTCTTGAGATTAGCCCAGCGAAGTGTTACTATTAATAGTTAAATGATGATCCATAATTTTAGCTTTAAATAAATAAATTTATATTTTTTGTTCATGCCAAAAATTCGCTTGAATTAAAAATATGAACTTACTTTTATCCTCTATTACTAAATTCAGAGCCTGCAAAATTGTTACCGAAATGGGATAGATATATGCATCCAATTCAATTATAATTATACAGATTTTTATATTCCAGAACTGACCAGAAGGTTAGTTAACAAAAAGATATATATATATATCTTTTTGTTCTTTATATATATATATATATATATATATATATATATATATATATATATATATATATGTATACTAAAATCTACTTATAAAAAAATTAAATATTTCAAGTATCAAATCGTTTCATTCGTTGTACAATATTTTGTTCCTTGTTGTTAGACTGTCGTCACATCCAGTTGTAATAATTACAAAGTAGCGACAGTGTTGTGTAACTGGCGATGTAGTAGTGATTTTATAAAAAAAAAATCTGACCACATTATTAAATACACAATAATTTTGGTATGTATCTCAGTGACAATAGAGTATTGTTAATTAATTTTATCATCATGTATATATCATTTTGTACAATAAGATTTGTAATGTAGATTATGTTAATTTACGTGTTTATGCATAGGTGATTCAAGTTTTTGCCGCGTACTTCATGCCCCTTTTTATTTCAAAAGTATTTCAAAAGTGGACCTGGATAACCGAGCTTTACTTTTTGTACACATTTTCATAAAATTGGATCAATTTTCGAGATAAGTGTAGATTAAATATAGCGAATGTTGCTTACTTAGGGTATAATGTAACTTAAAACTGGTGAAAGATTTTTTTAAAATAAATCAGACCTTTTTGAGTTTGTCCATCACAAATAAAAAAAAAATCTAAAATCTTTCATTATTACGATATTAAGTGTGGTTAAAATATTATTTTTATAGTTAGAAATTACGAAAAACAAAAGTGCCGTAGTACGAGGCCAAAGAAAGGAATTTTAGAAAATATATGAACGGAATCGTTATATAAAAAACAGATAACATATAAAAAAAATTCAAAATGGGTATCCACTGAAAAATTATTCTTATTGATAAAAATATTGTTAAGGCAAACGATGTTCTGGTTATTTGTTATAAAAATACATCAAAGCTAATTTTCTGAACGAAAAATATATTATAGTCTTAATAATATATACAAATAATGTTCAAAAAAAAAAGCAGAACCAACCAATGAATAATTCATTTGTTATTAGTAAATATTGGGAGGATAAATGAAAATATCTTTATTCAAGTAGGCTATTACAAACACTTTTGAATCGTCCAAAGTAAAAATAAAATAAAGTAAAAATGTATTTCAAGTCTTATAAAGTCAATATTTGATCACATGTTCACTTAATGGGTAGTTACCGATGTTAATGCATGCAGCTTAATTAGGGAAGTACAACGTGCGGACAAACTTACTTTTTCACTCCGGATACTTACTTTTTCAACGATATGGACTCAAGACATTATTAATGAAATTTAAATACTGCTTATGATTTTCCTTCCATTTCATAACGGGGTTATTTAGTAACAATAGGATATAATTCCATTATCTGTTATACGTTTTGTTACTAAAAAGCGTCTAAAGAGCATCCATCAACGCCTTTTATCAGTTGAAAGAGCTTCTACGTTTTAAATTGTTATTTTTAATGGAGTTTAAAAGTCAAAGAAGTTAACTGGTAATTTGGTATTTTCATATTTATTAGATTTATTACAAACTGCCCTCGTTTTATCTACGACCTCGATGATTTTTATTAATTTATTTTCAGATCAAATATGGCTACAGTAAATCGAATGCAATGCATTCTACTGATTTGCCTTACATTGGCGTACACGTGTAAGTTTAATCCAGCTTTCAGCTGGAATACCTATTTATAGCATTACAACCTTGGCATTTAACTTGAACTAGGGGTAGCGCATATTATTTTGCAGAATGAAAATGGTTTAATATCTGCAATTCAATTTGATATCATGACTTTTTTTTTTTATAACAATTATTTTGCCATTTTTCTGGATGATAATTGTTACAGGTGTCACTTAAAGAATTTTGCATTTATTTATCTTTCCAGCGAGTAGTATCCAGTGTTTCTACTGCAACAGTGCTAACAACAGTGCCTGCATAGACCTGAGCAGTTTCGAGGATGAGGAGAAATTCCGCATAATACCTATCGTTAACTGTGAGACCGCCATACCTAGTCCAGTCGCCATAGAATTCTTCTGTCGTAAAATCGTCCAGACCAGTAAGTAATTCTGTATGAAATCATTACTTGAAGGAATAGGGTATTGCGCCTTACAACGCTCACTGTTGCAAGCTCGTGCGGTAAAAAAACAATAAAAAAAAATATTTCATAAAAAAAATATTTCATAAAAAAAATAATATAAAAATGTATTTTATGCATGGTTTATAGAATACTTATTTACGTATCTAATTTAAATATTAAGGGATGACTATTTCATGTAAATATTTATGTATGGTGCATAGTAGTGACTTCTCCTCTTCTCATCTGGTGTCCACGGAAGATCAGCGTCGAGGTATCTTAATGACATCTCGGCACTATGCTGAATGGATACCTTTTTAGAACCACGATGTGTGTTTATGTATTCACTCAATTTGATATTTCTATATTATGTGGTTGCTAAATAAATGAATTATTATTATTATTATTAAATAACAGTCCTAAGTTCTTGCTGGGAATGAATACTTACACTTCCAAAACAATGGGCGCTTTCTGATCATGAACTCCACAATGAAGCGACAGTTTTACCACTAAGACCTGTAGCTACTAGAAACCATCCATCATCCTCTATACTCGCCTAAACTATATTAATTTATTTACATTTAACAAGGAAGTTACACTGTTTATTAAAATTTTACATATGGGTAATAATATTTTGTTTAACAATAAAATGTTTTTTTGCAAAAGAAAACCTTTAACATACAAAAACATTTCACGGTTCACTACGAAAAAGAAATTATTAGTGTCCATTTAAAATGACTGTTTATATTCTTGATTTCAGTATACCACCGCTTCAAGGACAATGAGGTCCGCGTGACACGCGGCTGCGGCTGGATCGAAAACAAGAACCCTTGCTACCAGATCAGCAACAATGATCACCACGAGATTGTGTGCGGATGCCACAGCAATTTATGCAACGCGTCTGATAGCCCAGACCCTGCACTCATGTGCATTATATTCGTCATACTTGCTAGCTGCTTGTATTTCTACAGGGAGTAACGATATTATTACGATTGTTATCGCCAGCTTATGAATGGACTGTATAGTTAAATAAAAAATAAATAAGCCAGCGGAATATTATATTTTAAATAACTTGATGAACTTACACAAAAGTAGAAAGACACCAGTAATTATAATAAATGTAAAAATGACAAAAGCCATATAAATTCAAATTATTGAAATAATACTCTTTTAATTTAAAAGGCTGGTAAATCTGTCGTAAGTAAATATTATATAAGAAATTACCTTTGTTAATTAATATATTACTGAGTATCGTACATCCCTTTTTTATTTTGCCTCTCTATAGATCTCGGCCTCTACCGACGTACATCTAGAGGCAAATAAATATGGTTATATTTGCGAAGCAAGAACGAAGGTTATGATTTCAATCAGTATGTAATGTGTGTGTATTCAGCAGTTACTTTTAAACTAGCAAAGTATTTAATCGATAAAAAGTCTTGATTGTCCACTCGTTCTTGGCTATGTAAGGGTGATGTGACGTAATACTATATTTAAGTATAATAACTAAAATATAGTGTCAAACAAAGTTTTTGTAATGACATTGTTTTTAATATAATATAAGTTTTTAATATTAAAGTGAAGGAGCTTTATTTTTCTCAGTTCAAAATGTAAACTGTGTCCTATTTATAATAAAATGGTAGAGCATCCTGAAGCCCAAACATTTTTATATCTCTAAAGATTTTGTTAAAATTACAATGTTAAACACAGGACCTATTACAGTGAGCGATATTTAAATTTCTAAAGAAATCTCTAAAGTTTTGACAACACCATGTTCCGACATATTTTTCCAGAATAACTAAAGCTGCATTAACAATTTTAATACTCCATAACGAACCAGAGTGAGCTTAGTACATGCAATTAATCCGGGCTTACCTGCACTAACACTCTACAGCTTGTTATTTCATAAAGGAACGAACAATTTTCAAGGTTACTGTTGAATGCGGTTTGAACTTTACACGTGGCCGACGTTACAAAATCCAGTGATAATATTGAACTTCCGCTCCAGCAGGTATTTGAAAGCCCCTGCAGCGCATCCAGCACACGGACCACTGTTTGTTTTTTACTTATTTAAACAAAGATCGGGCGTGGTCCGAATGCGAATGAAATCACACATAATTATATTTTTCATTACAACTATCTTTTAGTAAAGATTGTGTACGCTTTATCAAGTATTAGTCTAAAGAAAACCATCATGGGTCAGATATTTAATATTATAAACATCAATATAATTTATCAAAACATTTCACAATTGAACGACTATAGTAATAAAATATTTATTTTCATTGAGCAACTTTGCTTTCATGAGTGTAATTTTGAATAATATATTTCTTAAAGAAAAACTTGATTTTAAACTTGACATATTGTTGTAGCTTTAAGTACAACTTTGTTTACATGAATTAATTAATTTCTTGTATGGCAAATAATTATTTGGTCACAGTTTATTATACTTTCACCCGCTTATAGTGGAGCCCTACACTAAAACTACACGTGTTTCGCATTTTGCAAACGATCCATGATACCTATTAATTCATTTATTTGCAGTTTGTTATAATATGCATATCCCTAGTACTAGTTAGATTAATCACGATTCCTGTGTTTATACAAGAAATATTTCTATGAAAATATTACATTTATTTGTTGAATCTAAATATTAACTCAGTGAATACACGGCGTCGGATTACAGATTTTGGGAGAACAATTTTGATCCAGTCAATCCAAAATACTTCAGTTTAGCGCCCGAACCGAACGAACAAAGCGAAGCGAGCGTGCCTCGGCAACGATGGATGAAATGCCAGAAAGGACTTATTTCGCGATATTAATTAAAAACATTCTAATATTATTATAATTAAATATAATTGTTACGTTTGATTAGGCCGTCAGGGCGGATAGTTCTTGGATGGCACTACCCACACGACTTTCAGTTGGCAGAATTAACGAGATGGACCGACAATCTAACAAAGGGAAGCTGAGAAGTAATTAGTTATTTCTAGGATAACTGATAATTAAGCTGTCGATTATAAAAGCATTCGTTATCTTAAATGATTTCGTAGAAATTCAGTCTGAGACATATTATTATGTTAACTATAATTTCATATGAAATGAATTTATTTCTGGTTTTTTGTCACTCATCCCGTGACGGTACCTTGCGAAAGTTGCATAAGAACAACGATAACGGGTCACGGCGCTTATCACTATATAGTCGAGTAACTCTAATAATTTACAAAACTAAAAAAAAAGTAGAAAAAAAAAATTAAACAACAACCTAACAGACGAACAACGTAATATCACATAGTGGAGAAATAGAAATAATGTTTTGTGAATAATTAAAAATATTCCAAACCGCGCCGTTTTCGAACAGATATTGTTTCATCAAAGGCAATGGGATCTAACCCACACAGCCTAGTCATAGATAACATTTTTCTGTTTTCATATGGGTATAGGCACAGATAATATTCACATAATATACGTCTACAAGGACAAAGTATCTAAAACCAGGAATTTCTTTTAATTTACAAAAATCACATCACCAGCCACGTTTAAATTTTAAGTTAAGTATTATTTCTCACTTCTTTAAGTTTGAAGTGGGTTTTATTTAAAAAAAAAAAGTTTAATAAATTTATTTCAGATAGAACACCGCCCTGCGATATAAGTATTGCTATTTTAATAAAAATATTTATAAAACAGTTCGTTACGTCAAATTCATAGAAATTATTCAACAGAGCCCACGGCGAGATTATCCGTCAGCCATTTTTATTAAATAAATAATTAATGTACAGTCGCCAGCGCGACAGATTAGTGAACTATCAAAATTGACAAATTTATTATAAAACTTAATTTAGTTAGGTATATGATAAGTACAAAATCGTTTGCGTACCGTCGTGTGAACTGTATTATTAAGACTAGTATTTATGATTTGTTGATACATTTCTCGGATTCCAGATGACTCATCTTTAAAGTGCTCGTATTATAGAATATCTGAGACAACGAACCACAACACCCAGACACGAGACGATATAGAAAAATTCAGAATAGAATATCAGCTAGAAAGAGATCAATTTATATTAAACCCTAATTTAAGTTACACGAGTTTTACATGATATTGTGTTGACGAATAAAAGTATGTTTCTTTTGTAAACATAAACTTATTTTCCTCTATTGAAACAAGTTATTTTTTGTAGAGATGGTTTTGTTCTGAATGCAAACCATCTCTACAAAAAATAACTTGTTTCAATAGAGAATCTGTAAACTCAGTCTGGTTTTGAAATATTTAATTTTAATTTTGCTGTTATTTTTATAATAATAGGGAAATCGAAAGAGAGCTTTTATCAAGTTTGGATAGCATAATTATGGAACAGTTCGAGTACTAATTAAGTTTTTTAGGTGGATAATTTATATTAAAGTGGAATAGCGCAGAGGTTAGCGCGTTTGGTTTAAAGTTATGTAACCTAGGATAGGCGACCAAAAATTAAGTATCTCAAACTCCTCCGCACTTCGGAACACGTCCCGGCTGTATCGGCAGTCGTTATCATCCACCTAAGAGCACTGAGTCCACGTGGATGTGTCCCATTTTACCTATTCTATTGCATCCATAAGGAAAGCATATGCAATGCTCCGAATTTTCGCTTCAAAAATGTTTTAACCTTACCTTGAGTAAATCATAAATGCCAGTAGACATTACAACAGTAGCAATAATACTTAAGACTTATTAAGCGTATTCATAATTCAAATGGTTTTCGCCAGTGTTTGTTCTGTGAGCATATTAAATCACTTTCTAATTTCATGTACTGCAAATAGAATAAAAAAAAGCAAGAGGAGATTTCTTTCTGTGCTTTTCAATTATTTACTTTGTTAAATTCCAGCAAAAGAAACGACATTGAGTTATTATTTACACAGAATAGGTAATATCAACACCAGACATGTTATTTCAAAATAAGGCTTTAAACTTAACCTAGCGCTGGTTGCACGTGTACAGTTTCCGGAATAGTGACCGTGAAAAGCTCTCGTTTTAACTCTAGCTGTAAGCTTTACACGTGTTATTGATTTATATCAAACTATACGTTTATACATTAGTTTGAAATGTTTTAGTTTTATTATTAACATATTTAATCAATATTCATAATGAAAAAATGCAAAAAAGTTCAACGAGCTGATTGTTTGCGAAAGGTCGTGGGTTCGAGTCCCATCTTATAGTACATAGCTTGTAAGTTTTTTAGCATATTTCACTAAGAATATTTAGATAGATAGATAGATAGATAAATGCTTTATTGAACCACTACTATCACTACATTATAAGTTGTTATAAAATACTTTGTTGGTGTATAGAAACATTAAAATTACAAAAGACAACGATTTATATCACCGAACTAGAGTGTGAAGCAGTAGCTCAAGAGGTATACAGCTCAGTGTTGGATGTTCCATATATGAAACAGACACTGATTTTCAGCTGTACCCTAGTCGCCGTTTGGTTGCTAGCGAAAAATCAAAGTGAATGTGGAGTGAGAGTACAGTGTAATTCCAAAGTATTATATAAATAATTTAATGTAATCAATATAAACAATAATAGATAAATATTATTACAGATAGATATTATTACAAATAGCATTGTGAATGCAAAATGTATTTTTGCACTTGAACAGAAAATATGTGTTGCTCGTAATCGATCTCCAGGATATCTACCCATAACATAGATACATATTAAACTAACTAACTTTCCGCCAGCGCCTACGCGTGGTCTCTTATTATACAGATAAGCCTTTCTCTTGAATTTCCAATCATCACTATAATGTCACCAGATAATGTCAAAGTTACACAATTGTTATTATTAAAATCACATTATTAATTAAACTAAAGTAAAACAAAGAAAAAATCCACTTTAAATTAGAATAACAATAGTACTCATCAGGGTTAATTTTTTTTTCAAAAGTTTTTTTTAAAGAATAATTAGAAATGTCTACGGAATAAAATTTCGTGTCATATTC